AAGGGAGTATTTGAGGATTATCGTTATCCTCGTCTTCAATCACTACCAAAATCCACCTTCTCCTTCTCCAGTCAGCAAGCAGGTTACATCTCCTTCCAATTTAGCATTCCCGTGAATCCATTCCCCGAGCTCAACCGTTCTCTCGATTCAATGAATCCACAGCAACCGCACCCGTCGGAAACGGACCTTCCGTTTCCGCCCCTTTCCTCTCTCCGTATCCAACCGTCGTCGCCGCGTGTCCCGATCATCACTACTCCTACCTGCGGAGCCCAGCGCCGCATCGCCATCGCCGTTGATCTCAGCGACGAGAGTGGCTATGCCGTTCGTTGGGCCGTGCAGAACTATCTCCGTCCTGGAGATGCCGTCATCCTCCTCCACGTGCGTCCCACCTCTGTTCTCTACGGCGCCGACTGGGGATATCTCAAGCCTCAGATCACCCCTAACTCGGGAAATAATTACAACAATGCCAGTGATGAAGAGTCGCAGCAGAAGCTGGAGAATGATTTTGATATCTTCACCACAACCAAGGCAGACACGATTGCGCAGCCATTAGTTGACGGACAGATTCCGTTTAAAATTCACATAGTGAAGGATCACGACATGAAAGAAAGACTGTGTTTGGAGGTGGAGAGGTTGGGGTTGAGTGCGGTGATAATGGGGAGCAGGGGATTCGGGGCGTCCAGGAGGAGTAGCAAAGGGAGATTGGGGAGTGTTAGCGACTATTGCGTTCATCACTGTATCTGTCCGGTGGTGGTGGTACGATATCCGGATGATGAAGATGACCAAAACTGTGGAGTTGAGAAGCCAGTAAAGAATAAGGTGATTACAGTGGAACCGGAGCTTCAGCCGGTTCCAGAGGAGGAACAGGAGTACCATGATGCTGAGGAGGAGCACAAAGGTTTGTTCCGGTAATCATTAAAAAAAAAAACAAAAAATTGCTTGCGTTGTGGATATGACCTTTCATTGCTCAAGTACTTTCTGCATGTTTCCTGTGCTATTTTGCTTCAAATTTATTTTCGATGATTTGTGAGTGGTGCTTATTACTTTTGGTGAAAATTTTAATATTTCATTTTTTACATGATGTTTTGATTGCTAATATGTGCTATTTTTGCTTTGAAAAAATATTTATGAGAGTCAACTTTTCACTTGTCAAATTTGCAATTTCCAATGGTTAATAGCTACCCATTTTCAAGAGTCTCATGCTTATGTGAATATTAAATGTCACACTAAAAGAATGCATGTTAGAATTTTTTTTTTTTTTTTTTTGGTTACCATTTTTCACATTTTATTGCTATGCTTTTATTTCCTTCCTGAGTTATTTTTCGGAATATCACCTATCCAACACATTTCTCATATATTGGAGACTTATTTAGGCTTTGCATGTAGCTTAATATTAGGTTATCATTCATGGTCTTCAGACTTGATTCACCTTGATGTGAAAGAGCTTCCTAATTAGGTTTACTTAATTGTTTGGAAACTGTTTCCAATAGAACCACAAAGTGTTGGATATATTGAGTTGGGGACTTTTTTTTAGATGATTAGATCAATTACACAGAAGGTTAATAGATTGCTGTGGATGTCTATCATGAAATTTCAGAAGAGCTGGGTTACTTGGGTACAGTGCTTTATATTGTTTTCCAGAGATATGGTTTGCCTTCTAAACGTGTTGGATCTTGTTGTACTGCTTGGTAAAACAGGATAGTTGAACTAAAAAATGGATGCAGTTATGAGAAGTAACAAGCAGGAGGCAACATTTAATGTTTTCCAATTGTTGGTCAATGGCTAAGAAGAGGTGAGTCAGGTGACAGCTCTAGTAAGATGAGGCTATTTAATAGTTGAACTGGTGAGGAGCCTGATAATAGAAGGCAAGAAAGAATAGGCATGGCATATGAGAATAAAGAATTAAAGGTTGTGCTTAATTGATTATACAGACTTGGGTTAAGTTGCATAAATCTCACTATTTTGTGTGAAACACATAGCTTAAAGTTAATTCAGGGCTAAACAGAGTGCTGTCTCTCTTCTCACTTCCAGTCTATAGCTGTTTCCTTCTTTTATTCCTAGTGTGGATAAGAGATCAGCTATGTTTTGTGCTTGGATTTTCTTTCATGTTTCATCTTATAGTCTTATAGAGGTTGCTGGTTTGAGCTTTGATTGATAGTTTGATACATTATGTAATGCCATTGTGCCAACCAGATAGATTCTTGTTGCAGATCAATTTTGTTAGCTTCAGGGTTGCAATGGTTTATATGCCTCTTGTGTGTGTGTGACCACCAGCTTGCTCTATCATTCCAATCAAATAACAATTTTTCTCTCTCAAATGCCGCAGACCAACCACAGCCTACCACAGTCAGATTACATTGTTCTTCTCTTCCAAACATGGCCCTTTTGACCACTTCTTATTCCACCACAAATGACTATCCTAGATTGCCAACAACTAATCCTGCATGTAATCAAATTTTGCCACTGTACCACTTCAAAATCCTGGCAAAATATAGTTTCTATATCTCAAGTCTAAATCCCAAAAAGTTATATCCTTCTCAGACCAGACTTTCCAAGAATCTGGTGCCATTGAATATCAATGCTCAGATCTTGGCCAAGTTTCTATTTTCTTCAATTGTTTCTCAAAGCTTGAGTGAAGAGAAGGCCTAGAGAACAGAGAATGATGGAGATAAAAATGAAAGAGATTGAGTTTTGGAAAGAGAATTCTAATGTTCCTTGTATTCTGGTTAAAGCTTACAGCAAGTGTAACCTTGTTCTAGTTTCAAATAATAAGGGCATTATTGAATTGTCTCTAACTTTACATATTTCTTGTCAGCAGATGCTAAATTTTGAAGTGATGGCAAGAACGTCTTAATGCAGGTAAGGTAGTTTGCAACCAGTGTATTTCTTTCCATTTTTCCTGCCCTTCCCGCAACCTCTTACCTTTGGTCACCAATTGTTTAAAATTTAAATAACATGTATGCATAATTCCTTTTCTTCTTTTAACTCTTTTTCCTTCTTTGGATTTCCTTGTTTCTTTTTGTATTCGGATTGCGGGCTAATTAAGAATGGTGGTTGGTTGGGATTCTAGATGTTAGGGAGCCTTTCTCCATCCCTCACTTTTAGCCTTGTAGGGACCAAAGTATTCCAACATGGTTATGGTTATAAAACCTGGTCTAACCATGCCCTGTTTCTAGTTTAATTTTACTACACATTCTATTCATTGATAAGATCTTTGTCAACTTGTTCCTTTGCAAATTAAACAATGAACTTTGTCTGTGATTTACCGGACAAGTGATCGCTGATGTAGACACAGTGCTGCAGACAATGATCAAGGCAACCAAAAAAATTGAAGGCTTTTTGGGTGGCAATGGCATAGAAGCTTCAAAATCTTGTTTGGTGATGGAATTTTATACTTTGTACCAATAAATATTGTTTTCTCCCCGTCAATTGTCCATTTTCAAGTATGAAGGGCAGTGCTCTGTCCTAAATATGGTGTATGGTCACTTGATTTCCTTGGACTGTTTACAAGTTCTTAGCACAGCATGTTACCTTCCACGTTTTGGATCTAGATTTGATTGCTTTATTTCAGGATACTTTCCATTCAAGGTGGAATGAATAATGCATTAATAACGAACTCGGCCAAAGGAAATTTGTGGGACAAAATTTGTTGTCAATGGTGAATGCTGGCATTCATAATTTAGGCTGAGGGCTCGAACATCCCCTTCCCCATCTCCCTCCCCGTGGGGCTGAACCACTTACCCTTCCCTCTATATAAAGTGAATACTCGGTGACTTAAATAAGATAATCATATTCTTGAAGTGGCTGGGTACCGGTTTGGTTAATTAATTGTCATCATTAATACAGCAAGACAAAAATTTCATATTAATAATATCAATAATATCAAGACAAATTTCTTATTAATATATATGAATTTCAACTTATCAGCGATGAGCTTGAAGAATGTAAAACTTTTGAAATGGATAAAGAGAAGTTTCAAAGGAGCAATTCTCTAATCTTTCCACTGGTAATTGACAATTACCCAAACAAAGAATAATAAATAGAAACAGCTTACCAACTGAAATGACTAACCAGAATATGCCATGGCAATAATTTGCAAAAAATATAAGCTGCAGAACACATTAAGAAGTTCTACACTGGAAACCGTATCAACCACTTTTGAAGGGTATGTACCATCTAAACGTGGAAACTCTCTCATAACATTCTGAGGAACCATGTACAATTTATTCTCACAATGATGTTGAACAATATGATGTTCAATGTTTACTTTGAATAACAACACCTTCAGTGGGGAAAAAGTCTATGGTAATCAACAACCTTCCCTTTAAAATCTATGGTAAGAGAGAAATTGAAAATTATGCTGTTCAGATCAGGTGTACTGAAATGACAGAATAATGCACTGATAAAATGCCACATAACTAGAGAGTGAATAGTATACCAACCACACTGCATAAAGCAAAGATAGTCCTCGTCTTAGAAAGCTCCATGAGTTCCCTCACTTTGGGTCCTTTGAATTGAAAGCTCTGACTTGAGGTTCAGAAGGTTGCTACTAAAATCAAAATAATGATGATGCCTCTGATTGGCTGCTGCTCTAGTTCTGACTGGAGGTGGCAAGCGCGCATGCCTGCCTCTGGATTGCTTTGCTGAAACCACAGTTTGATTCTTCCGGCTATGAGTTGATGCAAAGGATTGTATGCGTGCCCCTACTACATGGCCACTCTTCCTTGAAACCTTGTGTTCTGCTCTAAGCCCACGATCAAACTGACGAGAACTACCTCCAATGCCCAGCCGGACTGAACGATCAGCAGAATCCTTCAAACTGCTGCTTTTAATAGGCTGGCAGTTGAAGTATGATAAATGTGGAAGAAGGCCTTGCAGATATTTCTTCAGTTGTTCATCTCCAACATTCTTCTGGGCCGGATTTCCTTCCAAGCTGATGGCTTGCAATGAGTTATAGTTTGCTGTGAGTTGGCCAAGACATTTGGCTGTAGAGATTTTGTTGAAACGCAGGTCTAGCACAGTCAACTTTAAGAGACGATGAAGACCCTCAACCTCGCTAATTTTGTTCCTTGCCAAGTACAATTCCTTAAGTGAGGAACAAGAAGCCAGACCTACATGGAATTATGTGATTGGAAGGCAAATTTGTGGTAAATAATCAGAAACAATAACCAAATGGAGACTTAAAAAATAAAAAGCAAGAACTTTGAATATGTAACTCATACCATGACCAATTCTAAATATTCGGTTATAGCTCAGATCCAGTACACGAAGTCGTGTTAGCCCGCGCAACCCCTCAATGGTGGAGATATTGTTCTTTGACAGATTCAATGTGTGAAGGCCACGAGGAAGAGCACCAGCAGTTATACTCACTGGAAAGAGTGCAAGATAGATGGTCAAGAACTAGATATATAGAAAAAATATATATATAATATTATGTAAAATTATAAGTTTATAATTTATAATGATATAGCATTAAATAAATAAATGTATAGCAATTCATAAATGAATTTTAAATAAAATAATTCAATTATATATGAAATATAATAATTATAAATTTATATAATATCAGGCATAACATTCTTTTTGTTAACCCCAAAAAATCCAACCATGATCAATAAGGTAAGAAATTATAAGGCAATGTCCCAATCTAATTATCTACTACCCTTGAATATTGACAGATTTTTTCAAACCAGGATGTCATGGACTCATTGGTGTAAGGACAGGTTAAGAGCAAGTTCGAGATTTCTTATCTCAGATGGAATGTGTATTTAAACTTATTGTATATTTGATAAGTTCAATTTATTCTCCAATTCTTTGATGATGGTCACTCGACAACTAAGTTAATGTCTAAATTCAGTTCTCCCTAATTGTATGAGAATCACGGTGAGTATGCCCCCACCCAATCCCTTGTTCTCGAAATCATCGCCTCATTGGACATATCAAGCCCCAATTATCTTGTTAAGTAAATTACGTGGATATCTCATTAAAATCTATAAAATACCTTAGGAATTACCTTGAAATGATAATTGAAACCAACCTAAAATTTCTTTTACAATATTTCTTAAGGTATATCAAATTATTGCTAACTTAAATATCGGAGTGTCTATCCCAAGAAGTCACCTTGAGCAAGCCAATCTAAAGAAGAGACATGAATTGAAGAAAACTTGGTGGTTTGTTGCAATTACAATTGGTTAAATAGATTATTAATTAAAAAAATAAAAATTAAAACATTTTAATATTTTACATATTAAAATTTATTATTTAAATATATTTTATAAATTTTTTATATATTAATTTATTTAAAATATTTAAAATTTATTATTACTTTTTTGGTTAAATCCCCAATTTGGTTCCTGAATTATTGTACGGATCCCCGATTTGATCTCTACTGTTTATCAATTTGACCCAAGTTGATCATTCTATATAAAAACGGCTGACGTGTTTCGTTATTAATGTAATATGTGGCCGTTAAGTTATTATTTTTTGTCGTTAAGTTACTATTTTTCGTTGTTAAATACTAGATACGTCAGCTTTTTTTTTTTACGGAAAGATTAATTTGGGGTAAATTGGTAAGGACCAAATCAGGGTCCGCATAATAGTTTAGGGACCAAATTAAGGATTTTTTTAGTTTATGGACCAAATTAGGGGTCCATGCAATAGTTTAGGAACCAAATTGAAGATTTAACCTACTTTTTTTT